ATACTTAGATTCTTGTAATAGGTTCCCTCTTTCTACTTCACATTCCCTTCACCCTCCAGGCCTCGCCCCTCTCACCACTGGTCCTGGAGGAGTCATCTGTCCTGGATTCCCTGTGTTTCCAGTTGCTATCTGTACAATGTACATCCGCTGGTCTAGCCAGATTGCATTCATCTTTCTATATACGGTTTTCAACATACCTTCCTCCAGCTTTTGTTCTTACGTAAGGATAAGAATGATTAATATGAATGAAATTCTTATGTGCCAGAGACTTGCTAAAGCGCTTTACACGTCATTAGCGCATTCTGTTATCAACATGTATGAGGTAGCTACTGTTATAACTCCTTTTTTTCAGGTAGGCAAATTGAGGCACAGAGAAGTTCACATGTGACCAGACTCATCAACTAGTAAGTGAAAGAGCTTGGATCGGCATCTGGTTCCAGAAAGCATCCTCATAGCAGGTAGGCTATCTTGCTTCCACTTCATAAGCCCAATATTTCCAGCTTGGAGGTGAATGACTAATCTAATTCTTTAGCTCCACTACTTTACTCCCCATTTTAACCAGGAAAACTGTCCTACTTTCTCCCGAGCTCACCTTTACTTTCAGAGTTCTTCCATCTACATTCGTGGTTGGCAAACTAAGTCCAACCTTCCATTTATTTATTCCCCACTGCTTTTGTAAATGAAGTTTTACTGGAGCATTGCCTTGTCCAATCATCCCCTCTTGCTTTTGGCCACTTTTATACACAGTAGAGCCGACTAGTTACAAGGGAGATCAAAATAGTTCACAAAACCTAAAATGCTTACTATCTGGCTCTTTACAGAAAAAGCTTCTAGTCACTGTTCTATATTGACGTCCCACCCCATCCTTCTTGGCCTAGATCAGGCCCTACCTCCCAGGGAAGTATCTCTGATCCCTACAGCCCACTGCATGTGTGCCTTGTGTCAGTCTACCAGATGATATCCCAGGGGAGCAGGGACTACCTTTGTCCTCCCTTTTTCATGGCACCATGGCCACAGCATCTTATCCAGAAAGAGCAGGATACAAGGGCACACATTTGTGGATGGAGACTGAGCCCAGTAGAAAGGCTATGTTTCATCCAGCTGGCCTTTAATGAACCCATGCCAGGATGAGAGGTAGGGGGCTGGGAGGAAGGTGGAGGTCTGATGAGCCCACTATACAAACAGAAGGCACAGGCCTTACCTTTTGCTCCACACACTTGATAAAGTCACCTTGCCTGGAGTGCCCTACTGGCTGCTTCTGAAACTCACTGCGCTTCTCCAGGCGAGACTCAAAGGCAGCGGGGTCAGACCTGATCAAAGGTAAACCAAACATTAAACCACCTGGGCCGTGTCGGATTTTGAAATAATGAAGCATTATATTTTGCCTTCACAGAGAGGATACAGAGGGATTCAGAGCTGAAGGGCTTGCCTCCAGTTACTCAGAACAGAGCAGAGGCCTCCAGACAAGGCAGAGAAATCAAGAAAATGAAAAAGGAAATCCAGTTATAAAACTGACAACGCTCAAAACGTGTCGTGTTATCCCCTTGCAGATTGATTCTCTAAGCCGATCCGTACAGATTACAGAGGTACTTAGAACCCTTCGGGCAGGAAAAGGTCCTTTTGAGGCCTATTTCTAGGTTACCTTCTTAGGCAGGAATCCTATAGCATCCCTCCTAGGTATCAAGCTTTTCCTTGAATACATCCAGTTCTTGGACACCTGTGATTAGCCAATATGTGACCTCCTCGAAGACCCTATTCTGAGAGGAGAATCCCTACATTTTTCTTCTCTCGGTCAAGTTTTCTTCAAATTTTCAGCCCCATCTTCTATATCTTTTGTAAATTTTTCTCACTGTGCATCTGCTGTCTGGGCACTCCGTTTATCCACACCCTTATTACAGTTGTGTGCCTGGAGATGGACCAACCCTCCCAGTTCACCAAAGTAGAGTGTGATGTGTAAACCCAGATACTGGACTGGAAATGGGACAGGAGGGAACACAGTGTGGTCTGCCACTAGCTCACACCAAGCTGGTAGTGGGTCCTTCAAGAGCCGTTATAAGTATGCTTCAATTCATGAGTATAACCAATTAGGGCTGTACTTCTCTTTTAAGCAGCTCATGGTATCCCACCCACTGGGTCCAGAACCTAAGGCCAGGGCTTGTCTTGTCCCTTCCTTCCCATAATCTGGCCCAGGCTCTCGTGACCTTTACTTTGCTTCTGCCTTCCTCCCACCTGAACTTCATGTTATTCCTTCTGAAGTCAGTCAGCAGTCCTTCCCATCTCCCCCGTTCTTGTCTCATTCAGCTTCTTTTATGACTTACTTTATCCTCTCTCTTTTTCATTATACATTAAGCTTCTCTTTGTTATCGATATATTATTGCCTTTTGGTTATCTTGCTAGGCTCTGGGGATACAAGAGTGAACAAGACACAGGCTCTATGTCTAGGAGCTTACTATCTGTTGAGAGAGGTAGGGATGCAAAGCAAGAGCGGTAGAAAGCTACAGGTATGATGAACATTTGTTCCAACTTGCCCAAATGGTTGAGATGGTTTCATAAGCCTTCACCGAGGCTGCTACTACCCCATCCTGTCTCCTTGGTGTTCGAGTATAGTGCCCAAAGGACATTTAGTTAGGCTGTGAATGTTAGGTAGTTTAGCTTAGGGACTGGGGTGTCCATTACGCATGCTCAGAGGTATGAGCTACTGGCCCATGAAGGAGTGGTACACTGCGCATGCTCAGAGGCTCAGGTTTCGGCCAGGAAGGGTGGTACATCTGGGTAGGCGCTGCACCTGGATTGGCCCACCTAGGCCAGGTAAATTCAATCCAGCCAATGGGGCCAGCCAGGGTCATCCACCACGCCTCCCCATGGGATGATTGAAAAGGCATGAGCCCGGATCCGACCTCGTGACTTTCAGAGCAGCTTCCAGGCAGACTGCACGGAGGGAGGGGCCCTGCAGGTACCTGTGTAAACCTGAAGCAGCCTCTAACTTTCATAAATCTCACTTGGATCACAAACCAGGCTTCGGCGTGAATTCTTCCTCGTGCGGAGCCAAGGACCAAGGTATATCTCTACACTGAGAGACCTAACATGAACACTAAGGGATTTGGGACATTATCCAGAGGCGTCCTGCTTCAGGAGATAAAGGGTCTATAAAAATGTTGATGGCCCCTAATAAAATGTTAAAAAAGAGAAAAGAAAAAAAAACCCAAAAAAACACCAAACAAACAAACAAAAATGTTGATGGGAATGGTCTAGCAGGGAAGCAGGGCCAAGCCATCCATTCATTTGTTCACTAGGATGAGTGCCTGGGAACTGCGGAAGTGCTGAGAGTGTGCACAGACAATTCTGGGATGCTTGCTTGTGGACAGGCTCACAGAGAGAAGCCTGGGAGGGATTTCATGCAGGGCCAGGGACGATTCTAAAGCTGACGGATACACCAATATATTTGAATGCTATAGGAAGGAAAGCAGAAATACACAGTTATCCCATCATTCCTTCAAAAAGCAAGAGATCACTAAAGCAACAATGGAATGGACTAGGGTGAAGGGGGGCCCAAGACCGGAAGGGGGAAGACGGGTTAGGGGATGCCTGCAACAGATCAGGCTGAAGATGAGGAAGGAACGAATTAGGGCAGTGGAAGCAGAGAGGAGACAGAACTCAAAGAAGTTACAGTACTCCTTGGCTACTTCTCATCGGAAGATGGCCTGTCCTCCCTGCCAAATTCTCTCCAAGCCCCTTTCATTCCACCTTTGGTCTTCAGCTCTTCCTACTTGACCCCTGCAGGATCCTCCACTCTCCAGATCCCTGCCCCTGGAATTGGGGTGGAGGGGAGTATAGTGGATTTGGAGTCAGGCCCCTAAATTCAGTTCTACATCTCAGCCAGCGTTGTGACCTTTAGCAAACCTCTCACCTCTCAACCTCAACTTCCTCATCGGATGAGGGTTCAGTTCAAGATTCCAGTGATACTTTTAGTCTTGGACCCTCTCTGTACCTCACTCCCTGTAAAACGGAGACCTCAGGGAGGAGCTAGGAATCCCCGGTCTGGGCCAGGCCACAGTCAACTCAGCAATGTGACCTTGAGCAAATCAAGTGCGAACCCTAAAAAGGCTCCCGTTTTTCCATTTCTAGAATGGGGGCAGCAGGTCCTTCCGAGCTGCCTGCCTCCCCGGGCGGGCTGCCAAAAAAGAGGCTTCTCTGCGTTCTGGGAACTAAATCACAAAGATAGAAACTGGGGGAATCCCCAGGGATTAGCAGACTCCCAGTTCGGACACGAACTAGCTGTGTGATCTTAAACTAGTGACTTAGCCTCTCTGCGCCTCATCCACACCCTCTGACGAGGAGGCGGGGCGGTAGGGGGGCCGAACCCGGGCGCCAGCCAGGTGCTGCTTCTCCCCCGCCCCGCGCCACCCCCACGCGCACCCCCC